TTCAGAGAAGAGTAACTTACTGACACTCTTTTTAGTCTTCCCAAGAGCCTCGTGGTGGGAGGAAATATTCTTCTCCTAAGATCCATCCTGACCCACTTTCTATGGGATAGAGTCTGTGAATCAGAAATGGAATCCTCCAGGACTCAACATTCCTGAAGCTGGTCTAAATGATGTACCCTTTCAATTACAAAGCAAGTCATCGAGGTTACACAAAGCTGCCAATACAGCCACAGTGATGTTCTGACACTTCATCACACATCAAATATCCCTAAGCAATGAAAAGCACAACTCTCTATCTTTTCAAGTTAAAAAAAAAAAAAATCACCCACCTAAGTTCTTAGCAGGAGGACCTAAGTCATTGTTAAAAACATAAGATATGTCCATAATTAATATTCTTGTTTGAGTGAGTAGGTAATGACTAGGGGTTACTCTTATAATCAATACATTAGGTGGTGGACTGTGAACCAACAAGGTGACTCAGATATGCAGAAAGGGGCTCACAATTAGATTAGAGATCAGAGTGAACTGTGAGTGGGTGACTCTTATGACACCATCAGGAACTATAAACCTGGTTACCTTGGCAACCAGAGTCCCCAAGATAATGAAGATGATGACAAATGAAAAAGATGACGGTAATAGTGATGCAGAGATAAAGTCTCAGCTAAGAAATTCACCACCACCATTCACTGCTCTTCCAACAATGAAAATAAAAGCTAAAATAACCTGAATGGTCACACATAGACTGAATTAAGATGCCTAGGAAATTAGTATGGAAATCCTAACATCCAAGAAGTCTAAACTCTTTCTCATATCCTCTAACAAGCGGTTTAGTAGCCCTTGAGGATAGCCAGCCCACCTCTCTTCTGTGCTGAGAGTCATCAAAATGAGAATTTAACAAACAAGCAATTAGATACCTACTTTCCACGGGGCCTGGGTTACCTTCCCTCCAACTTCAGGGTCCAGTTCTCATGCAGTGATTCTCAGACCGAAATCTCTGGGTACATTTTTTTTTTTTTTATGACAACACCATGTCATTTACCAAAAAAGAGTCAAAGAAATTACCATGAGATACACAGATTCCTTAACACATCTTAGAAAACCAGAGACCCCTGCAATCTGTCACACAGCCACCTAGCTGTCAATTTTTTCTCTCAAGTTCAGCATAACTGTCTACTAACAAGAGAAGTCCCAGCCTCTGTGAACTTTCATAAACAAAAAATTTCTTCTAGAAAAAGGCAAACAAAAATTGAACCAAGATGATAAGGAAAAGGAATAAATAACTATGCTTTCAGAGGGCCTGCCCTCTGATTTTTAGACAAGAAAGTCTGCAGTGAAAATTGTGTATCATTATCAAAGCCAATATGTGTGAATAAAGAGCTATTGTTTTAAAGATGATAAACCACAAACGGCATTTTCTTCTGGGATGTTGGTGGCATAATAATTTTCATTTTGTAAATGTCAGCACATTGCAAGCAGGAAATACTTGGAGGAAGATAGTCACACATGATAAAAGCTGAATGGTAGCCATGTGGCATTTTGACACGAGAATAGAATAAGGATATTAAAAAAGAGGATGGTATATGTTTAAAGGAGAGACAGTGAGGTCCTCGCCTTCCCCATAGTAAAGGTTTGAATGTGAGAGCTTCAGAACAACCATTACAGATTCATTTCTTTTTCTAATCTACCTGTGAAAATGACTCATCCTATTTCCTAGTATTGATATATTGGCATTAATTTTACAAACCTGGCTATAAAAGTTCTTTCTGAATGGTTGCCTTTAAAAAAAAAAAAAAAGGAATATCTTTGGGTATAAGAACAGAGTAAAACAAATTCTTATTTTTTTAAAATTTTTAATTGGAAGCTACTTGCTTTACAATTGTGTGTTGGTTTCTGCTGTACACCAGCGTGAATCAGCTATAAGTATACATGTGTCCCCTTCCTCCTGAGCCTGCTTCTCCCCCCACCATCCTTCAGCTAGTTACCTTGCATTTTCTATGTCCATCTTTCTACCTAACTTCCCCAAGCCCAGCCTCCAAGCAATACTTTCCTGAGAGAGGTCAACGACTTTTGTGTACAACTACCTCAGAGGGGTCATTTGCTGAACTAAAAATAAAGTCTTTAATTACCTTGCTTTGTTGATGGTTTTTCATTAAATACCAATCATTTTCCTGCCTTCTGTGCCTCTCTCAGAAAAAGAAATGCTGTGGGGAATAGGGCAGCAACAGAGAAATCAATCGTGTTCAATTTGGCCATTTTGGACAGTTTCCTTCCTAAGGTTTGGGAAGAAATGAAAAGAAATGCTCTCGTTGGAAAAAAAAAAATGTGTTGTTCTGATTTTTGCCTTCATATTGGATGATTAGCTTGCTGAAAAAAAATCAATATTGACTGAAAAATCAATGAACAATACTATGTATTATAGGTACCCTCCTTCTATCGTCAACCACAAATTGTTTCCCTTTCAAGGGCCTCCAGTTCTAAGCTGGATTCATATTCCGAAATCAACAAAATCCTCTGTTGTGAATCTCAACTGCGCAATTATCCAGTAAAAAAGACATATCATGTTAGTAAAGTAATTGTGTCAGTTAAGGTTTTCTTCTGCTTCCTGAGTCATTCTTCTTTAATTTTACTCTAAAGATCTTTCTTTTTTTTTTTTTAAAGATCTTTCATAGTGTCATTAAAATCATGAAGAATCAAGTTCAGGTTTGACCTTCATAGGATAAATATTTAAAGCTATGCTGTGAAACAAAGAGTTAGAATTGTTAAACTGGTCCAAAAAACTGTCCACACACAGACACATGCACACATCTCAACACAGAGAGAGCATTAGTCTTTCACAGTCCTCAAGAGGATGGCTACACTTTGACCAGAGAATTTCCTTAACTGTAACTTTTTCATGGAGGGTAAAGAGGAGAGAAACAAAAAGCACATGGAAGATTTTGCACCACTGATTAGAAGGGACCAGACATTTTTGTATGTTGTAATTATTTTTTCTCATAAGTTTTCTTACTGAAAGAGGCATTTTGAAAGTGCCTTCTCAAAAAAAAAAGAGAAAGAAAGAAATTGCCTTCTCTGCCTCTTTCCTACTTCATTAGATGGCCACTCAGCACCAAATCTTAAAAGTGATTATGGGGGGTGAACCAGCATTTGAAACATAGACGTACCTCAAGTCAAAGACAGTTTTCATGTGTGTGATCTTTTCACTGCTTCTCTAGCTATCCCCCTTTTAATAAATGTGCTAAAGGAAACATATAAAGCCTTGAGTCTTACAAAACATGTCTCCAAAGGAGAGTGAATGAATTGATGATGATGGCTGTGCACAAAGAAAAGTATTTTGTATACAGTCACCAATTTTAAATAGTTTTCCATCGGAGTGGGGCTTCTCTCTCCTTTCTGCCCATTCTTTATGGCCTAATTAATTATGAAATTTTAAATAGTCTTTAAAAATAAATTTTAGAGATCCCTTAAAAGATAGATATTGAAGATTCTTTTAAAGAATGTTTGTTAGCTCTCAATGCTGGGTATTAACCTATCTCATCACCAGCTCATGTCTTTTATTATGTCAACTTCTTTTATAAATACACAGAATTTTTAAGGTGTTCACTGGCACCTCAACAATGAAACAGATGGGTGTATTGCACAAGTTGGGTGATTACACTCTTTGGAACTCACGCACATGATATTTAAGGACAGCAAGAAATCATGCAATCCCCATACTACCAGCATAAGTGAGAAAGAAAATGGAAGATGCTGGCCTTTCATTGTATCTTCAAGGGAAAAATAACTATCCTTATTTCAATATGCCAATTAACCCTTATCTGTCCAATTTTTGAGCAAAGTAGGACCATTTTCTAACTCTGAGAACAAGTTGAATGAACACCTGACTCCAGCCCACCTAAGTAAGCAACAAACTCTTTCTGTTGGGAACTGTGATTTACCAAAGATGATCTAACCCTGGACATATCTGGAGCTAAGAAATTATAAAGCACACCCTATTAGGTGGGGTAGCATAAGAGCACAGACAAAGTGCTGGTCAGACAAAGGTGGTTCAGACCCTAATTCCAACAACCCCCACGTGTAGATCTTTAGCCAAATTAACATTCCTCCCCCCAGCTCTTTATCTGAAATGGGGTTAACTGTGATCACATCAAGTTCTTCATCCTCATCCCCATCGTCATTGAAAACTTAAAGAATTTCAACCCCTTGAAACAGATATCAACCAGTTGTTTAGAAAAACTAATTTATTAGCATCTGTATGGCACCAGCATCTGTGACAACTCCAGAATTCATTTTGGCACCCTTTCAATTCAAGTAGACATGGCAAAAGAGTCAGACAGGACTTAGTGACTAAACAACAAGACATGGTAATTATAGCCAACCTTTATCTTGCCGGCCAAGCATTGATTGTGCTGAACATTTCACATGGTTTGTTTCATTTTATCCCCACAATGACCTTGAGATGAATTTATTATCACTCCCATTTTACAGATAAGGAAACTGAGGCTTAGAGAGTTTAAATACTAGTCTAAACTCAGTTATCAAGAAATAGACCTGTGATATGAACCCAGGCAGTCTCAGTCCAGAGCTCTCAGAACCAACCTGCTTACAGCAATTTTCTTCCATTTAAAAATATATATGTATACACAAATGCTAAAAATTCTTGGGACATTACCAACTAATAGTTAGATAAATCTGATTTAATTCCAAAGAATGCTTATTTAAGTATTTTGCTGGCTATAGTCTGAGAATCAATGAGTTTCGTCAATAACAGGTTGCCATTTCATAGCAAAAACTACACTTCAAATGTCCAAATGTCCTGAGTGCTTCGAAATTGAAAATGAACCATTCACTGATAAATGAAGAAAAGTATTGCACCTTTTGAAATATACCAAATACAGAGTGCACGATTTAAAGACATTTTTCCCTGCAAAATAAATGAAATGAAGTGAACCGAAAACCTCAAAAGAAAACGCAGGAGGAGGAAAGAAATCAAAACAGTTTACCTGCTACTTGAATTGAGGGGAAGAAGTTGAGAGCCAGGAGCAGCCTGAGGATCATGGTGCTGACGGTGGGCCACGGCCCCAGCCCCTCCTCCCCGAGAAGCCCGAGTGTGAGCTGAGCTGAAGACAGGCTTGAGTGACTCGACTCGTCATCCGCGGCCACCACCGCCGACTTACTTCTCGCGGGGCACATGATCAAGGGACTCAAACCTCAAACATTTCACACAGGATATTACATTGTTTTGATGACTTCTGACTTTTCCTCTTCTTTTAAAGGCAAACCTTTTCTTGTCACTGAAACAGAGTATCAGTCAGTCTCGGATGGTCTCATGGAAATCATGCCCCGTAGAGGGGTGTCAGGGCTGTGAAAACCGGGTGCTTGAAATCTAAAATGTAAGGGTAGACAGATGAGACAATCCTAAAAGAGGAGGCCTTTCCATAAGACGGGGGTAGACTGTGTCCAAAAGACACCAATAAGAATTACACTGAGGGACTTCCCCACTGGTCCAGAGGTTAAGAAGCTGCCTGCCACGGCGGGGGACATGGTTTTGATCCCTGGTCCAGGAAGATCTCACATGCCGGGCAGCAAGTTAGCCTATGTGCCACGACTACTGAGCCCACTCACCAACTACCGAAACTCACACCATGCTGAAGGGTAGCCCCCGCTCACTGCAACTAGAGAAAGCCCAGTCACTGCAGTGAAGACACAGCACGGCCAAAAATAGTAAGTAAAAAATGTCTTTCAAAAAAGGATTATACTGAAGATTTGGGAAATAATAGTTATCAGCATTGAAATTTATAAATATGAGGAATTGAACGTTTGTGTTGGACGTAGGCAGCCCCATGGAGCATGGAACACAAACTGTTTAGTTTAGGCCAAACCTTTCCCAACTCACTTCAAAGAACTTTGAGAGAGACACCCCACTTGCAAGTACCCCACCTACAGAATATCTGGAGGAGCTTCCCTAAGCAAAGGGAGAGTCGAAAGTATCCTGTGTCTTTAGGGGGCAGTGAGGTGACAGATGTCTCTTGGTGTCTCGTGGTCTGTATGTTCCTCAAGGAAATTAGAGGTTAAGTGGCAGGCATGAAAGGAGGCTCCAAGCAGCCTCCCCGAGGCTGGTGACCACGCCTCTGCAGGCCTTACCTTCTGAGAAAGTCTTCTGTGTTTAGAGGCCTTCCCCTGTCGCGGCCAGCCCCGCTATCCTCTTTAGGAGCCTGGCTCAGGATCTTGTACTCCACAGCTTGTTCAAAAACCTTCCAGTAACTTTTTTCTGCTTTCCTGAAAAATCTAAGCTTTATGTGATTAACTTAGTTTGAAGTTTGTGTATATGTCTTAAAAAATAATAACAATATTTTGTGTATAGATTTTTATTCTGACTATAAATGATCAAACCAATCAATCCTAAAGGAAATTAATCCTGAATATTCATTGGAAGGACTGATGCTGAAGCTGAAGCTCCAATACTTTGGCCACCTGATGCGAAGAGCTGACTCATTGGAAAAGACCCTGATGCTGGGAAAAATTGAAGGCAGGAGAAGGGGATGACAGAGGGTGAGACGGTTGGATGGCATCACTGACTCAATGGACATGAGTTTGAGTAAGCTCCAGGAGATGGTGAGGGACAGGGAGGCCTGGCGTGCTGCAGTCCATGGGGTCACAAAGAGTCAGACATGGCTGAGTGACTGAACAACAACAATAAAAGGAGGACATATTTCATATAGAAAATTTAGAAAAAGATACTTTTACTTTTGTAAATGTCAAAAGAATCACTAAAACAAAATCCATCTATGATCTTACCACTCTGATATAAACACTGTTAACATTCTGGTCCTTTTCTATTAAGATTTTTACATACTTAATATCAGGTTCTATTTATAGTTTTCAACAGATCTATACTAATATCTGTTATATCCTGAACATTTTTCCCGTGACCTGCAAGCATTCTTTATAAACATTATTTGAAACTGATACATAATATTTCATCCTATAATCACCTCATAAGTTGTCTATGTGTGTTAGTTGCTCAATCATGTCCAACTCTTTGCAACCCGTGGACTGTATCCTGCCAGACTCCTCTGTCCATGGAATTCTCAGGCAAGAATACTGGAGTGGGTTGCCACCCTTCTCCAGGGGATCTTCCCAACCCAGGGGTTGTACCCAGGTCTCCCACACTGCAGGCAGAATCTTTACCATCTGAGCTTCCTGGGAAGCCCATAAGCTGTCTAACAATCCCCTGATGGAATTAACAAATTTTTGCTATTTTCAAGTACTACATTGAACATCTTTCATGATTTAGCTATAAGTGAAAGACTTCATGTCCTTCCCTCTTCTTGTCTGGCAAATGACAGATCAAAAGTATTTCCCATCCTAGTAGACCCTCTTTGTCCATATTTTAATTTTCTCACAGTTTTTGTGAACTTCCCTCTCCCATACCAATATATCTTCTTGCCATTTGGAGTAATCTGTCCTTGGAAATGATTCACTTACACCTGTGAACTAAAGGTAAATGATGAAGTCATGTCCCCAGTCATGAGGGGGACATCTTCAAGAGAAGATTCATTTCTCAAATTTGACCCAGTATTCCTAGTTCCTCGAAGATATAGAGGAACTTCTATCTTACCCTAATGTCTTTCTAGCAACAATTTGTAAAAGGCAGGATAGGACTTCCCTGGTGGTCCAGTGTCCAAGACTCTGCCTTCCCAATAAAGGGGGCCTGGTTTCAATCCCTGGTCAGGGAACTAGATCCCATATGCTGCAACTGAGAGTGTGCATGCTGCAAAAATAGACTGAAGATCCCAGTGCCACAACTAGGATCCAGCACAGTCAAATAAATAAGTCAAGATACCCTTCTCTGAAAGTTTGCCCTATTCAGGAGTCCCCACACCACCCAGATCTAGAACAAGAGACTCTAAAATTCAGCACAGAGATTAAGAATATGTAGACTAGAAACAAAGACTCCCCCATATTTCCTGTGATTGATAACAAAAGACTAAGTAGCAAATTAATAGCTGCATAGAAAAGAAACATGCTTCAAGCATAGAGCATCTAGTTGATATTATGTATGTGGTAGTGCTTAACTGAATCAACCTTAGTTGGAAAGGAGTGCAGTGATATGGACTAGCTCTTTTATTCTGCAAAAGAGGATGTTGATGCCCAAAGAGGTTAGCTGACTTACACAGACCCACAAAACAATAATTAAGTATACTTGATTTTATTACTTGACTAAGGGTATTTGATGTTCACTCTTTAAAATATAAAGAAACACAAACTTTGGCATTTGCCTTCCTTTTTTAACACACTAAAGAAACAAATCATTTCATTACAGACCTTTCACATTTGCTCTTGAAATGCAATGGCATTCACATACACTAAGAAGGAGAAACGATAGACATGAAATAAGAGACCTTCAATCCATCAATGCTTGGAATACTGAGACCATCATTCTTGCTGTTGTTGTTCAGTCACTAAGTTGTGTCCAAATCCATGTGACCCCATGGAGCACAGCACACCAGGTTTCCCTGTCCTTCACTGTCTCCTGGAGTTTGCTCAAACTCATGTCCGTTGAGTTGGTGATGCCATCCAACCATCTCACCCTCTGTTACCCCCTTCTCCTCCTGCCCTCAATCTTTCCCAGCATCAGGGTCTTTTCCAGTGAGTTGGCTCTTCGCCTCAGGTGGCCAAAGGATTGGATGACATTTCTCATAATAATAATAGCACTTATGAACCAAGCACTTTATACACCTGATCTCAAAGTATACTCACACAATCTATATAGGAACATGCTTGTCTATCCCCATTGTACAGATAAGAAGACTAACCCTGAGAGCAGGCTAGGAAGTCTCAGGAAGCAGTGGGGCCAGGATTAGGACATGGACCTTTCTAACTGGAACTACCATGCCATAATCCCAGTCCTGTGCTGCCTCCCTACTGTCAGCCCCCTCCAGGACTGCAGACTCCTTCAGGACAAAAGGATAGGGAATATGCATTGCCTTTCTGCTGTGTGCATGCTCAGTTGCTTCAGCTGTGTCTCACTCTTTGCGACCCCATGTACTATAGACTGCCAGGCTCCTCTGTCCGTGGGATTCTCCAAGCAAGAATAGTGGACTGGGTTGCCATTTCCTCTTCCAGGGGATCTTCCCAAACCAAGGATTGAACCCGATTCTCCTCCATCTCCTGCATTGCAGGCAGATTCTTTACCCACTGAGCCACCTAGGAAGACTTAAAGAAGATGTGGTATATAAATACAATGAAATATTACTCAGCCATAAAAAGGAACAAGTTTGAGTCCATTGTAGTGAGGTGAGCGAACCTAGAGACTATTATACAGAGTGAAGTCAGAAAAACAAATATCATACATTAATACATATATGTGGAATCTAGCAAAATAGTAACAAGATGTCTTATTAGACATGTGTGACCAGAGGGTCACACAGAGGGAGAAGAAAGAGAATAGTGACCCAAGATGGCACTGAGACGACTTAATTAAACAGTGTTTCATAAAAATGCACCTGTATTTTTCTGAAGAAATTCCAGATTCCTTAAACCCACATACACTCTTGCAATTCAAGGACATATGCTCTATGATGGAACAAATGACCTTAATAAATCAACAGGTATACTGAAGTCCACACTACATGGCTCATCAGAGAAAAATACAAGTGACCAAATTCTATAGGCTGTTTGAAACATAATAGGAACTAACCCTAGGGGTAAGATCCTTTAAAAAAAAAAGTCTCAGGGTATGTAATATTGTGATATAATAAGAAATATGTATTTTGGTCGTCATCCCTGGCTCCTACCAAGAGCTCCTAAAACTTTTTCAATTCCCTAATCAATAATCTCAAATATGCGATGATACCACCCTTATGGCAGAAAGTGAAGAGGAAAAAAAGCCCCCTGATGAAAGTGAAAGAGGAGAGTGAAAAAGTTGGTTTAAAGCTCAACATTCAGAAAACTAAGATCATGGCATCTGGTCCCATCACTTCATGGCAAATAGATGGGGAAACAGTGGAAACAGTGTCAGACTTTATTTTCTGGGCTCCAAAATCACTGCAGAT